ATATATATATATATATGAGTAAAAAATAAGTAAAAAAGTTATTGAAAATTTAGTTTAATTTTTTAAGATATATTTTTAATCTATGTAGTTTTATTTATTTTATTTTTCATTTTCTATATTTTAAAATAGATGTTTTTAGTTCTTATACTTATAATTTTTAATTCTTTTAGTTTTTATTGTTAAGTTTTTTAACATTATCTCTTTTGTATTGACATAAATTTACTAATTTAATTTTTTTATATTTGATATTGAATTTATTTTATTAGAGCTATTTTAAATTAAGTCTTTATTGACACTCATATCTATTTTGAAATCTCACATACAAAGATTGAGATTCATTTTAAATTTAATCTTACCGGATTGAAGATTGTACGATATTGATATAAAATAGAACACTAAAAAAAATTAACAATAGAGATTAAAATGATTACAAAATTGTAAGTATAAAAACTAAAAAAATCTATTCAAACTATAGGGATTAAAGAGGAATAAAAAAATAAATATAAAAAACTATTAAAAAAAATAAACTATAGAGACTAAAAGATAAAGTATGTAAAACTATAAAGATTAAAAATGTATTTTAACTCTAAACTTTGTTATTGGGACTTAAGGTTTGAGGTGTATTTGATAGCGAGAGAAAAAATTGAGAGAAATTGAGTGAAAGAAATAGAAAATAAAATTATATATATATATATGAGTAAAAATAGATGAGAAATAAATTAAAAGTTTTAATTTAATTTTTTTATCTATTAAAATTACAATAACGGCATCAAAGTATAAACTTAAAATAATGTGAATTTAATTGTTTGGTTTAAGAAAAATAGAAAATAAATATAAATAAATAATATTATAATTAAATTTTTTATGTACAATTTATTATTTTATTATGTATTTTTCTAATCAAATTATCATATTGTGATTGTTTATAGACAACTAATTAAGTGTAATATATATATATATATATATATGATTGTGGTTGTGCAACAATTGTCTATTTGATAAAACTTAAATAGAAAAAAATTGGTGGTTAAATTGTCGGTAATCATTCAAGTGTAAAAAATATTTTAAATATAAGAAATTGTCATAATCTCTTTTGATATTTGATAAAATGACATAGATCTCCCTCTATTTTATTAGTTGACAATTATCTCTCTTATTTTATGATTTAGGTTTCATATACTACATTTTTTCATAATGTTAATTCATTTACATGTTGAAACTTATTCTCTTTACCTAGTTGAACTTTTTTCTACAATTGAAAAAATGCATAGAATTATCAATACGTAATTATACTCTTAGTTTTATTTTATTGTAACATAGTACAAATATTAAAAAAAATCATTTATTAGTGGACTACACAAAAGCACAAGAGATTAATTACTCTCATCTAAAAGTCATATCAATGATATTGATCTTCTATATTTAAGTTTAAAAACTTAAATAACTCTAGATGTACTCATTAATGATGTGACTTTATAGTCCTAATAATATTTTTTCTATCAAATATCAAAACCACACAAAAAAAATATTATGCAACCTTTACAAAAACTTTAATTTTGTTTGCATAAATAAAAATTAAAGACAACCTGAAAAAAAAAGTTGTTATATACATTGAAAAGAATAGATAGTAGCAAATAGAGAGCTTGTTAATGAAAGAAGGAGCAAAGTTACACACATTAAAAGTTTATCATTTTTTACCTAGACAATTTTTTAATTTATTTATAATTTAAGAAGTTAAATAGAATTCACATTTGAAGAGGTCTTTGTTTTTCAAAAATAGGGATGATTGGTGTCATTTGGATAAATTTTAGGAAAGGTTAATATAAATTTCACTTTTAACATGATTGCGACAACAATTGTATATTTGATAAAATTTAAATAGAAAAAAAAATTGGCAATTAGAAGTTGTCACAAAATGCGAACCCGACTTTTTAACCTTATTTTCACTAAGTCTTGCATATAAATAAAATGAGGTGAGACTCATCACCTTTTAATTTCCTATCCCTTCATGTCTCATTAATTAAACTACCTATTTCATTTTTATCATCTTATTTTTACTCCCTCCTTCTTATTTTTTAGTAACCAAACAAAGGGTAAATTTTTTAGACTAAAACATAAATAAGTTTTAACTAAGTCAAATTTATTTCTAAAAAAAGAATTTTATTTATTATTTTTAAACTAAAAATATATCTAATATGAGGAAACATGAACACTATCCATGATAAATGTGATTAAAGATATTTTAATCAACTTTCTTAATATATGTGAAATTAATTTTTGTACTTATATATAAGTTCAAAGAGAGTACTCTATTTATATGTGTACATGTTATTTTGATCTAACCTAATTATATCAAGGAGTGCCAAAATAGTTGTGACTTAATTTTCAATAACATGTATTAGATTGAACTAACTTGTTGCTCCTATTAATTTTTTACACTAAAATATATTTTTGGTCATTTATATTATTTTTAAGATTATTTTTGATCATTTATGTTTTAAAATGTTAATTTTGATCTTTTATCTTTTAAATTAAAGTTGATTTAGTCCTTTTGAAATCATGATTGATTTCAATTGTGAGACACGATTTTGAATCATTTTTTTGACTAATTTAAAACCTAGAAATTATTTTATTAGATTCATTTATATGAAAATTATAGAATGTGACATATATTTGAATAAAAAAGAATCATATACACAATAAAAATTGTGTGAAACGGAGTCCAAGTAACAACTAAAAATATATATATATAAAATCTAATTTAAAATTATCTTCTAATTGTTTGTGTGATATATTTTTCATGTGATTTAAACTATGTTTATCACTTTTTTTGAGTTGAATATCAATTGAATTTCATATTTTTTATATAAATAAATCTAATAGGACAAATTTTACGTCACAAATCAATCAAATAAATATTTAAAATTATATTACGAAATTGAAAATAATGATTATTTTAAGAAGATCAAATCGACTCAAACTTATAAGATAAATAATCAAAATAGATATTTTAAAAAAATAAAGGATCAAAATGAATCTTAAAAATAAAATAAAGGACTAAAAGCATAATTTAATTAACTTTTTAATATTTATCTCATAAATGATAAATTTAATGTGGGATGTTAATACTAATTTTAAGAATAACATTCTATGCACATAAATAGAATTTTGTTTTAAATTTCTAATACTTATTTATTATTTTCGTTGATACACTCTATTTTAATTATATTATTAATACTAGAAGACTGAATTCTATCCTCATCGTTGGTAAGACAACAGAAGCTAATATGATCAAACTCAACCCACTAATCTAACTTGTCATGATGTTGATTTTGATAAGCTAAGGTCTTGAATTTAAATTTAAATGTATTTTGAGGAAGAATTATGTCTCAAGTAATCTACAATATAATTTCGTGTCATATATTCTCTTCAAAAATATAACTTTTAAACAATGATGTATTAAAATATAAAAATATTAATTTAATATTTTTATTCTTTATAATATGATAATATATTTAAAATATAAAAAATAATATTTTAATATTTTAAAATATATTGTAAAATATAACTTGATTGAAATTTCATATTTCTTTTATTGTATAATTTGACTATACATACTATTAATATTAATATGTTAAACCAAAAGTCTGAATTGATTCAAATTTGTCGAACATAATTTGAATCTTAATTGAATTAAGTTAAATTTAGAAAAATGGTCAAATCGAAAAATCAAATCAAATAAAGATGTGAATAGATTTATTTGTTGCACTCCTTTACTCAATCCTAATGACTAACCAAACGTGATAACCTATATAACTTTAATTTTTTGTTTAACCTTAAGTGATTTTACTTTTGGTAAAATAACCTTAATTGTCTTGTAAGAATGATATAATTAATTAAGTCTTTTTATTCTTATAAGTTAGGACTTGAAATCAAATCTACTTTCTTTTATATTCTTTTATACACTCTTATATTAAGAATGAGATAACCAAAAAAATGTTGATGGTTCACTTTAATAATATGTCTTAATATAAACTTTTAATTAAAAAAAAAGTAAACTTCAGTGATTTAATTTCAAATATGAAGATTCTACCCAAGTGAACACTTAAAATGTCAATGTCATACACGTATCCTAGGAACAAGTCTAACAATCATGAACATGAAGATTATCTGTTGGACTCCCCGTCCTACTCCTTTTTAAATGAAAGCAAATAAGTATGCATAGCTACACACATTTCTTCAGGGGTTCAAGAAGAAAAAATTTAGCCATGTTTACATAATAAACCAATATCGGCTGCAAATTTTTTTGGCACGCCAACTGCAAGTAAGAACTAAGAACCACCCTTTGCTAAACCAGAACAATTTTCCTACACAATAAAAACAACAATAACAAAAGTCTTATCCTACCAAGTGAGATTGGTTAGATGGATTGTTATTTTAAACATCAAAACTTGATTTAAAAAAAGAAGGATTATCACAAAAACAAAGAATTAAATGGAATGAATCTACAATACATTATCCACCAGAAACAACTAAGTTGTATACAAACTCCTGCAATTCAAAGACAAAGGGAATTCTACGAGATAATAAACGGGGTTAAAATTAGTGCTAATCAAATCAACAAACAAAAAATATATATTGAAATACTCTGATAGAGAATGTTCTACCACAATACTTCAAGTTCGGCAAAAGCACGATCAGAATATAATAGCTTTTTAGTAATTCAACAGATATCACATTCACAGGGCAAGTTAAAAAATGAAGAGCAAAATCTTTTCATTTATTTATTCAATTTACAGTGATAAATTTGGAAGATTTTTTACCGGACAATGCAAGACTTTCAGAAGGTACAATACAAACTAAAACTGAAACTACAAGGATGGGGAAAAAAATGTGGTAAAATATAAATGTCAACTATAAAACCCAAAATTGTTCCAACAACAAAGGATTTTCTTTGTTGTTCTAAATAATTAAGTTTTGTTGATCTCCTGAGGCTCCTGAACTCTTTCAGTCTTCCTCTCCAGTAACTGCCGTGCTATTTTTAATTTTCCACACTTCTGAAACTCATGCTCAAATATGTCTCTAGCATAAGCTGAAAAAGGAATACCCTTCTCAAGCATTGACATTGCTTTCTCATAAGCAGCATCTATTTGACCTCCTTTACACAGCTTCTGCAACTTCTGGTTCTCCAATTTTCTTTCCAATTTAACACACAGATCCAACCGGTCATGTTCTCTCAAAAGACACTCCACCAAATTGTAAGTGTGAAAATGTGGAATCAATCCTAATCCCAACATTTCCATCAACAAGTCATACGCAACCTTCCAGTTCTTACCCTCACAATGAGCAAGGATCAGAGGAGTGTAGGTGAAACCATCAGGAAGACATCTCTTCTTATTCATAATCTCCAAGACCCTAATAGCATCCTTCAATTTCCCCAATTTACACAGCATGGTTATCACAGAATTATAAACAACCACCTTTGGCTTCAAGCCACAAGCCAACATCCTCCCAAACAACTCACTAGCTTCCTCCACCCGCCGGCATTCGCAGAATGCCGTTATAACCATAGAGTATCCCTCATGAACACAAGTCATTTTCCTTCCCTCAACAATCCTCAAAACTCGAACAGCTTCTTCGGTATCGCCCAAGCGACAAAGCTCAGACATAAGCTTAACCACAACAAAAGCACTAGGCAACAAACCAGAGTTACAAACCGCCCAAAACACTTGAACTGCAGGCTGAATTGCACCACGATTTCCTCCAATGTTAGGAACTAATATAGTACACGGTCTCCTAGTATTCCTCACTCTCACCTTCTCAACAGAACCTTCTTTTGCACACAACAAACAGAGCTCCCCAATGAGCATGTTAACAGCAGAACGTGTAGGAACAACCCTAATCTTCTCCATTTGGTAAAAAATTTCAAGGGCTGTTTCTAATATCCCGAGCTTACACAAACCAACAATCATGTTACTGCAGGAATACGTATCGGGGGCTTCAATTCTGCGAAAAATTGAAAGTGCAAGGTGAACCATCTCCAAAGATGATTGCCTCTTGCAAAGCACATAAAGCATGTTATTGAAGACAAGATTATCAGGCTTACACCTAAACGCAGTTTCCATTTCATCAAACAGTTGCAATGCTTCATTGATTCTCCCTTGTCTACCCAAAAACCTGATGCAAGTGGACAATGCCCTAGACGACACTCGACCGTTGTGAAACGCCACTGTAGCGAACAAGCACTTGATGTCGTCGAAGAGCTTCCTCCGACCGAAGAAATCGGTCATGAACTCGACGACATTGTCGTCGAAGCGAAACCCCATGTGGGTCCCTGCCAAGGAGAAGAATTTAAGGGTTTTGGCCCTACCCAAGTGCTTGTAGCGCGTCAAAACGCGAAGCACGAGTTGCGAGGTTAGGTGTCGCTCGTGACGGGACAAAACGCGAGCCATGTCGGCGCCGTGGGTGGCGCAGGATACGAGGTCGGAGAGCAACGAGGAAGGGTGAAGGACATGGGGAGGGGTTGCGTTCCGTGGGATTGGGGGAGAGAAGGAATTTGAGAAATTAGGGTGAGTTTGGGAAGAATGGGAATGGAGAAAGCGTGCGTGAAGAGAGAAAACGGCACCGTTTCGAGTCCTGCAAAGCATTACAATTTGAAAGACAAGTTAGTTGGTTGATTCGATTCCTGCGTTTCTTCTTCTTCCTTATGAAACATTTACGTTAGTTACTAGTCAGAGTTAGGACATGGCCACCACCACCACCTTTTTAACAGTATCCTACTTGTTTTATTTTTTAAAAATATACCTTTAGCTCTTCAATTGGACCTTTGGTATTCTCACTTGGGCTTGTTATTGGGCCATATATATATATAGGACATGTTGTAAGTTAATCAAATAAAATATGAAAATTATTGTGAATCAAAGTCTTAGAAGCGAGCGATTTGACAGCATATATAGCTGTTGACACCTCAAACATGCATGTAGACTGTCACTACTGTCTTCTGTGTATCCATGAATGTTGATGCTCTTTCTCATGAAAAACTTTTCGATTTCTTAAGCCAAGTGTATGGGCATGTCATGTCACAAGCTATCAATAAGTGAAAGCAGAAAATCATATACTGGTGTGGTGTTGAGCAATGTAAGATAAGGTGTGGATTTTATTATTTTAAGATGAGAATGAGATGATAGAGAGGTTTTCACTTGTGTTGTGCAAGCATGACATTGACATTTGGCAGTCACAGTGGCAACGTCACCAACCAAATCATGAAGCTGGGCCTGTATCTCTCTCTGTTATCACTCCATCCATCTAAATCAGACACAGCAACAAAGAAACTTTTTATTTTACGTATAATAATAATATACTAAACCAGAATTTTTTACATATGATCAACTTTTATATAAGTTAGATATATGTATGACTTACATTAACATGCATTCTATCTTAAACTTGTGGTCACTAGTCTCATATATATCTATTTTTTTTATAAAAAATATTTGTTACAAAATGTCAAACTCCTTAAATTGATTTGAATACTTTAAAAAAAAATTAATCTTTAACTCCCCACTAAAGAATATATACCATGAGTTCACCCAAATGTTTATCTCAAATTTTCAATACCATCTTTCTAGTATATAATTTAGGGAAAAATGAAATTGATGAAAAAAAAGGTGATATATTGTATTTTTTTATTTAAATAAAACATATAGTTACATAAAATATCTGAACCACACTAATATAAATAATAAATAGAGTCTAAAGGACGGTCAAAAGCAACTAACACATAAAAATAAATTAACAAATAATACAACACCTCTTTTGTTTTTTTTTTTTTTTACGGGACACAACAACACGTCGTTATGAAATAGAAATCTAATATAAGAATCGTATTTTACGATATATGAAATTGTTTACTTTTTGGTTAGATAATGTATGAAATTGTTTGAGTCTGCTGCCTTTTTCATCTGAAGAAAGAGGAAAAATATTGGGCCGTTTACTGATTTCCTGAAATTAATCTTTGTTAGGTATATTAGAAAAGGATAAGTATATACCATATGAGTTTCATTTTATATTTAATTATTTATAAAAATAAACGAAATTGATTACACTCATTTTGGGGTCCATTCATTTATATAAACAAAGAAATAACATGAATCCTATAATCAAAGAAAATTGATTAAACTTAATCATTTTAGATTAGTATAACTGACACGAGACTCACATAAAAAATATTCAAATCGAGAAAATATGTTCATTTATTTAATATTTATTTTTATTATCGTCTTCAATAAAAAAAATACTCCTAAATAATAATAAATAAATAAAACTTAATACAAGTGTAAGTATAACCAAAGAAAACAAAATAGATCGTAATTAAGACCGTTACATTTATATACACTAGACCACCCAGCTGCCTATTCATTTGTATTTATTGATTTGGAAGATTCTCCAAATGGCAGCTTGAATTTTCTCATGGTGTATAATTTTTTTCAAGTCATCGCACTATCAATGCAAAATATTCTCCAGTTTTAATAATATTATTTTGTCAAAAAATTTGGTTCATCATTGTTAATGGTGTTCCCTTCTCAATTATATTTTCTTTATTTACAAGACTCAAATTTCAAGATCTTATTTAAAATATATGAATGTAGATAATTATTGTTTTTAACTGTTTTATATAAACTATATACTTTTTACAATTATATTATTCATACGAAAAGTATTTACTGCTTTTATAATATATATATATATATAGGTCGGGGGCACAAATTGATTTAATTCAAAAAGTTCATGATTAAAGCAAAACAATACACATCACTCATGGTAATTTATCTAAAATCACATGCAACAATCTTCATGCAGCCATGTTCTTGGGAGGGACCAAAGCAGTAGAAAAAAGCCATTGCCAATAGTCATGGAAGAATTAAAACCATTAAGAAATTAACAGCAACAAAAGAAATAATAAGTGAATTCCATTAAAAAAAGCTTAATTGTTAAATAACTAGAAAAAAGAAATTGCCGAGGGACCCTCTACCCAGAATAAACCCGTTAATTGAAATTTGATGAATTATTAAATAACTGGAGGACAAACAACATGGAAGTCTGTTCCTAACTTCCTATACATCAACAGAAAATTAGCGTGCACTGCTTTTGGCTTATACATAGTTGGATGTTAGAGAAAGCTTGGCTATAAATTATAATTATAAACAAGGCAGTATACATAAGCTTCCTACTATCATTCACTGTAGTCATCAATGCTTTAGCAGCAAAGTTTGACATATATATATTGATGGTTGTCACATTCAATGGTTAATTTCAATCAGCAATTAGCACCATTAGTTATAGATATTGTTGTCAGTGGCATACATTTCCAGTTATGAACACACAAATAAAGAGTATCATAATATGAAAGACACAAATCTAGTAAACAGGCAATATGCACTGCACCTGCAGACACACACATACAGAATAATGACAATACGCATAGATACACTAGTTTTTAAACTGACAAGGTCACCCACCTAAAAAAATATGAATTTTTTAGTATAGAAATAAACTATAAGAAATTTAGTTTAGCATAATCATGAGTTGTTGATATATATATATATATATATCACAATTGGTTTATTTTTTGTTGTTGTTGTCTAATAAATTACAGTGTAACACAACCGAAAGAATGGGGCAATAAAAGATGATAGAAAATCATCCAATCTAACTTTCTAATAGTCAGAATTCAGATCAACTACCTCAATAAATTAAGTGTCTCAAGCAAGCGTGGAATGGTTTAAAAGTAAGAAATTTTTGTGATATTGAAGTGGTAAAGGGGTTATTAGCGTGTGGCAGCCCTCAAAGCTCAAAGAGAGGCATTTTCATTTTTGTCAAGGGTGAACACTCATTTGAATAATCTACTCTATAATTAGAAGGGTAGCCTTCACAATCACAACCAAACTAATTAATGAGCTTACCAGAACCATTAATAAACGTAGACTCCAATTACTTAATCTCGTTTGGATTTTATGATAAAACAATTCAGAATAATGCACCTTATACCAAAGAACCTAATCATAATCTAAAGTAGACATAAAAAAGACTCACCGAAGAGAGCAGTAGAGGGGATGAAAGTGACATTACATATCAGCCAGAAGAGTAAAAGAAAGCATGGATTTAGTTGCAGATTTTTGGACCTATCAACTTACCAAATATTTATATAACCAGATTACTTGTCCTTAATGTATATATATTTCATAAAAATAATCTACACAATATTTTAAAATTGATAATCAAAAGTTAATTTATATTTTCAAAATGACCAAAGATAAGATGTATAAATTTAGTTCGTATAATAAAATGTTAATTATGTTTTGAGTAAGAGATTTATTTATCATATTAATATTGTTTGCAATAAATATTGATTATGAAATATTAGTTTATATTAGTATTAATGTTATCATGAACTATTTTTATAGGTAGTACCACTTGAATGATATGATGCTTTTAACTTTTATAATAATACGTTATACTTTCGTTATCAGATTTTTTGTTCTTCTCTTCCTTCTCCAGCTATAATGATATACTAGCTACCAACCTAAACAATTAATGATCTACCTCTTCCTTCCTATAATGGTCTCAATTTCTTCGGTTTAATTATATCATAGTATCAATATCTTTCAAACATCCACCTTGTATATTGCTTTTTATATTTCTATCAAAATGAACTAGGTTTCTTTTAATTAAAAAAAAGGGTTTAGTCTTTATTGTGATTCTCTGATCATCATATATAATCATGTGGATCTTCAAATGGCTGTGTCGAAATGGTTATCAATAAGTCAATTGAAATGATATGAAGTCAATCAAGGACTTCTCATAACATTAATTATTTTGTAGTGATATCTTAAATTATGAAAGAAAAAAAATGTGAGTATATCAATTAAATATCCTTTAATATGTTTGTTTCCTTTTTCTTGTTTTTGAGAGATTTTGTAGAAGATACGAAAGACATTACATTACTTCTAGCATGTCTAATTCCACAAAGCACGGGAAATTAATCCATGGAAAATCTAATAAGAAAGAGCCATAACAGGTGACTATGTAGCATTTAATTTAATTGTAATGATAACTTTTAAGTTTAATATAGTAAAGAGGTATCACTTTCTCTCGTTGAATTAGCCATAAAGAAATATCTCAAGTTTCAACTCTATTTATAAAACGTTGAAACCCGACATTGATTAAAAAAATTCGCTATTGTGACAGCAACTTCAACTAACGGAAAACATTTGTGTATCACTTGTATGTAACATAGCACATATCACAAAGATGTGTGGAGTAAAATGTTAAAAATAATAATAGTATTATTTGATTTCATCGCATTAGAATTTTAGATGCGAATATCCAATCCTTTTAACTTAACAAATCTACACACATTTGAACATATTAAAATTTTGTTTCACTCATTTAAAGATAAAATACTTTCCGTGTTTATGGTTGTACTTTCTCTTTGATGTAATTGAAAAAGTAGAGGAACAGATAGAAACGGTGGTGGAAAGAGTTGCGGAGAAAGGGAGTATTCATCGTTTTGGATCAACACAATAAACTCCATGATATAACAATCAAACTAATTAAATTAATTTATTTTTTTTAAGTTTGGGTTGGACTCAAACTAATCCATAAAATTTAGGTATAACTTTATAGATATATATGATGTTATTTTTCAATTAGGATGAAATTTTCATTTTATTAATATGCATTAATATATATTAATTAGGTTTACATTAAATATAAATGTATATTATTATAATAAAACTCTTAGTCTGATAGAGAACAAAATTAACCATAACTATAAAATTATGCTCCCTCTAGATTTATATATAAGAGGAAAAAAAATCATATAGATTTTAAAAGTTAATTAAATGTATTTAATTTTTACGATTTCACATAAAATACACATTATATTTTTTAAATATTTTTAATTACACTTATAATAATTAGTTCTCTTATTTATTGTTTTAGAGATATTTTATTTTTATTGAAATATTAAAAAGTTAAGTTAGTTGAAGTTTACTTATATTTTAATTTAAAAAATTTAAATACTTTTTGCTTATATATAAATCTAGAAGAAGTATCTAAGTTTTGTCCAAAAACAATTGAAATCTTATGTTAATTGATTTGGATATTATTAAATATACACTTTTGACATATGAACCAAACCAACTATTTATATTTTAAATTTAATATAGTAAATATCAGTGTGTCATTTTGAAATTTTTATTTATGTTTCATTTTGAGAGTCAAGGTTTCACTAATTAATCTTCTTAATTTAAAATTTTTTATTTTTATTTATTTTAATTAATTTCCTGACCTCATTTTAGATAGAGAGTTTTTGCTTGACTCATGCTTAATATTTCCACATTTACACTCAACATAGTTCGAGTAGAGAGCTTTGGCTTGACCAAGCTGAATGCCACTTGATGGGGCTTGACGTTATCAAGTTAGAAATCTTCTAGGGCAATCACGATCGATGTTATCCCAATCTGAGACAAGTCTCTCCCCCACGTCTGATGCCACTAATCATGCATCCAACGTGACAAGATAAAGAGCCTTATGTTTTCCACTTTGAATTCACCAACATAACCACGAATCTTTGGATTTTCGATAACATGCAACTCAAAAATCAATCACTAGCTAGCAACTCATCCAAAACACAATAATTCTAGCTTCCCTTACCTCGAATTCAAAATTAATTGAGGAGGAAGAAGAAAGGGTTCCTAAGTTTCATGCCTCCCTTAACTCAAATCAACAAAAAATTTAAAGACCTCCTATTGACCTAAATTCAATAACAACACAATACAACGAGAATCGAAGAAGGAAGAAGAGAAGATTTAGCGTAGCAAGAACTCATAGACCATAGTTCTTCTTTCTATAATTCTTCTCTCTAAGATTACGAGAACTTGAGTTTTTGAGGCTTTATACTAAATAAAAACTTCATGTGCTCTTTTCCTCGAAGTTAAACAGGATCCTTGTCTAAAGAAACCCTGCTAGCTACTAAAACTCATGAGGAGTCCTTGGATCCCAAAGTTTCTTAACACGAAAATCAACGTATAAATAATATAGTCACTACTCTCTAACACTTACAATGTTATAATTTCATCCAACAAATAAGAATTTCCGTCCCAAAAATCAACTTACGTGAGAATAAATATGAGTACTGACTTTTGCACTGCTTCTCATCCTCTCAAGTGGTCTCACCGGTAACTACATCCCACAAGACCGTTACTAAACTAATGGACTTGTCTTGCAACTCCTCCAACTATGCGATTACAACGAAACATACCAACTACAATATACACTAAAAGAAAAAAAAACATTAAGTAATATACTACTATATTTTTATTTATTTTGTTTATATTACATATTTTCTATTGAAAGTAATTATATTCATCGAAAAGATTATGAGTAACAAAATTATACTTTCATGATATTATTTCAATTAAAATATAAAAATATGATTGATAATTGATGTATGAAGGGAAAGTGGAGGGTTTTGTGTGAACACGTTGTTTATGCAAAATATTATTAATTTTATTGATAATTAATTAACTGCTTTTAGTGGAGTAGAATTTTGACACGTGACAGCGACAGTATTGTGATATAAAGATAAATGTAATTTGGAGTAATATAGATTTGCTTTTGAGAGCATTAAAAGTTGTGTATTGAATAAGATGCATATTTTGCCTGCATAATAAGATAGGCGAGTGAGTCCATGTCCATGATTGAGTACCAAACGGAGTACAAGCAGAGGCGTTGGCATCTTTCTGGTTTTGTCTCTTTGTAACTGCGGCACGCTATGCTCTGCACAGTGCATACATAATTATTTACTCTTTCCACTTCCTCTACTTAATTTCTCATTTATAAGTGCTTAACCATTTCCACCCAAGCCGGCTTTTAGCCCTCAACACTCTCTCCACGTCCCTTATCACCCCTCAACAAACTAACCCTTTTTTCTTTCCAATTCTCAACTTCAAACATAACCCACAAGGCATATCCCTTTTCCCCACTTTGGACCACTCTCAATAAAGTTGCAAACTCAACATCTCCCTACTTTTTTAATAATTCAGACACTCTATATTCCCTTTATTATATTGTCACAATTTAACTAATAATCTTGTGTTTAAGTTTTGAGTAATTACGTATTCCCTTTTTTTTAAAAAAATTAACAGGATTGTCTCGTGTAGTATTGAAAAAACCAAAGACTCTGGCATATACTTTTTTTTATTTGAGACTTAGATGCTTCTTTTATTGCATTCTTTGTTAGGTTTGAATCAATCAATTTGACTGGTCCTCTAACTTTTGGCCCCATTTAAACCCCCTGCTGTACTCTCCTCTTTCTCCTATCAAACCCCATTTTCTTTTTTTTTGCTGTTTAAGGCTCTCTGGGGATTCCACAGTTTCCTCAAAGGGTTGAATGAGATGGCAGTTGATCTCTGCTCAGAAAACTGTGGGGTTTCTTCCTCTTCTGTGAGTCCAAGAATCTCATTCTCACATGACTTCTCCCAATCTGATGTCATTCCGGTTGAGCAACTCCCTTTCAGATCAAACTCTTCTGGCTTGAATAATTCCACCATTGACTTTGATTTTTGTGTCAGTGAGAGCTTTGAGCTTGAGTCATCTTCAGCTGATGAGCTTTTCTCTCAAGGGAGGATCCTTCCAACTGAGGTCAAGAGAAAGAGTGTTCCCACAAAGCAAACAAGTGCTCCATTAGCACCAAAGTCTCTATTGCCTCCTCCCCATGCTGGTGCTTCCACAACAAAAAACTTGAAGAAAGAGAGCCATAAGGAGACCAAGTACTTGCATGATGAAGTATATGAGAAGCAAAGTTCCAAGTCCTTTTGGAGCTTCAAGAGAAGTAGCAGCTGTGGAAGTGGACACAGAAGGAGCTTTTGCCCTTTGCCACTTCTATCGAGAAGCAATTCAACTGGATCATCAACACCAAGTGTCAAGAGGAACTCAATTTCAAAGGAGGGTGTTAGTGTTAGTGTTAACAACATTAAGCCAAATTCACAGAAACATTCTTCTTCCACAAGGTTAACTCACTCTCACTCCTTTGTGCCAAACGGTTATCATCATCAAAAGCCTCCATTGAATTACAAGAGTCATCATGGATCTTATGGTAACAGTGTTAGGGTCAATCCTGTGCTGAATGTCCCTCCTGCAAACCTATTTGGTTTGGCTTCGATCTTCTCCAACAATAGAGACAAGAGCAAGAGGCAGTTTTAGTTCACCAGCAAACCAGTGGGGTCTGTGTCTTTTATTTTTTTTTATTTCTATGTACTTGTGTTGGGTTTACTTACCATGTGAACTAGAAAAATTAGGTATAGGTGAAAATTTTGAAAGGTGAATGTGAATGGTTTGCATCATGATGAAGATAAAATGGTACAAAGAGATATGTGTGTGAAGGTGATGGAGAAGAATGATATAATGCAAGCACATGTTTTGGGGCACAAAATGACAGGTAACTGTTGTTTTCGTTGCTGTACCTTAGTTTGTTTTTGTTCCTCTGCATTTGCTCTTTGAACTATGTGTAAATACATTGACTTTCCATAGAATGATAGTATCTCTTTCTTGATTTCTCTCTGGATTGAATTTCAGGCTAAATGAACAACAAGTTGATTATACATGCCTGTTGGTTCACGTTAGATTTTATGTCAAAAGTCTAAAGTTGATTTTGAATTGAAGCAGGTTTAATTAACTATTGTATTGGATAAAAAGTTTTGTGTTGAATTTTAATATTAACTTGCACTTCATTAATTTGGTGCTCAGCAGATTTGGTCATGATCTGCGTGCATCTGCTTTTGGGTGAAGGATTATGAAGGCAGCACTTTCGTTAATTTGACAATTTATACAAACCATAAACCAGTTTTAAACTACTAGATTATGCATAATCATGAAACAATTGTCTTGTGAAGTTCCAATGCGGCACTGAGTTCTAGTGTTCCCTTGAACTGTGACCACTATATTCTCTTTGAAGAATCTAACATTGAATAAACTTAGTTGGTGTATAAAGCTTTTCCCCCTTGGAGTGTGATTTCGAAAAACGGAATTCAACGTTGCTCTATTTCGAGTCTAAGAAATGGAGGTTTGGCCTAACATGTAGTAGCATTTATTTGTTCTCATTTAAAGGGTAAACTTTAAAGCATTTGAAAAACTATTTTAAGATGACTAATTCCCTGTGGGGATGGTTTTTGGGTGGCTTCAAATAAGTAAATTGAAGAAGAAAAATCTAATCTAAGCAATGTTTGTCAACTTCAATTCCCATTAAATAAAAGGAAGTCTCCTTTGTAGGAAAGTAATGCCTTGAACTTGAAGCAACTAAACAAACATTCTTGCAACAAATCTTCAACTCTTTTTCGGTTCCTTTTTGGTTGCAACAAGATAGAAAAGAAAAAAGAAAATAGAAGGGGAGAGGAGGTGTGGAAATTGAACGATAATCAATTATTTAATTCAAAAATTAGTTTTGTTTTTTTTTTCTCAAATAAATTAAACACTCTTACTTTTACTCTTATTTATTTATTTATTTCTCTTTTTTTTTTATCCACTTTAATTTTTTTATTTACTTCTTTTCATCCTATTAAATACACCGTCGAGGAAAAAAAATTTAAAATAGAAAGTTCTTGAAAATAGTATTTTTCACGCTTCAGACTTAAAATCTTATAATCCAGCATGGATGATGACGTGAACTACAAATTGCTTAGATGCCACTATCAAGCCCTTATATTTATATGTCAATTTTGTATTTCTTTTATGTACATAAAAAAGATGAAAAGGAAAGGGTGAAGTGTGAACTAATTAATGGTGCGATAAACAGAAAAAAAGATAAAAGAAAATGCTAAGCAAAGATTTACTGTAGAAATAATGACTCGAGATATAGGTAGATTTGTTTAATTTTTTTGTGTACATTCTATTAGACCGTTTTGTTCCTCAACTTTCAAAACATTTTTCATACATATTTTTTAATCTAATTTTTATTTTTTTCTCTTCTTCTTCGTAAATTTATTTTTTAAAATATTTCACACCCTTAAAATAATTTCTCAAAACGGTTTAGAGTTTTAAGTTATTAATTACTGGTACATATTTACGTTGGTTAAAGGAAATGAAATTGAAGAAGTTATTAATATGAGATGAGTTATTATTTGTTAGATACCAAAATCTGCGTCCCCATAAATTATGCAATGGTTGGTACAAGGGAGAAGGGAGGTGAAGTATTGTATTAGACATAAGTGGTTGGTTGAGCGCAATTTGGATGAATTCATCTGTCACTCACACTCAACTTGTTACCGTACTGTCATGTCTCTATCTTATTCATTTTGTTGAGGCACAAGTAGGAAAAGCCAATTCAAGGTGTTAAAAAGGTTGAAAGATGAATGCACTCTAATAACCCAACCAAAGAGACAACATGTGAATGCCCATCATTCTTCTTCACTGCTCCAAACTTAATTCAACTCAACCCTCTTTATGTGCTATGCTTTCAATCAAATAGCTCCATCATTTATTTACAAGTCTCTTCAGATATGTTCATCATAGTCCATGGTCCCCTACACTTTTCAAAGATAATGTTTCTTTTTTTACTTTTTTTAATAAATGATTATTTTCTTGATATTTTATAATAAAGAGCTAAAAAGATTGTGTAAACAGTGAATTATTATAAATGGTACAAAATTTAAGCATTTTCTTGTTGAAGTTTTTGAAACTTCTGAAATCTTTCACTGGCAGTGCAAGGTAGAAGTCATGTCCATCGTCAAAAAAGTAAAACATAAATAGATGTCAATTGCACAAACTTTGTTGCCAACAACCGAAGATTTTAATTGATTGATAACGCTGTGACAAAGGAAGGACGGTGGAAACTGGAAATGACATCTTAATTAATTGCACGAGCTAGAAGTTATTTTTTATTTTTTTTTAATATTTGATACAGAATCATTTAGTTAATATTTCTTGTACTTTTTGTTTTTGAATGTTTCCTTTTTAAAAATTAATTTTTAAAATAATTTTAAACCTTAAAAAAAATACAACCAGACATATCTTATTGGAAAACACAGTTCTTTAAAATGAAGTCGTATATAAAGTATGTAAACAGTAATATAATTTGATTTTCAATTTTATAAAATATGTTGGATTGACTTATTCATTATGCTACATTTTAATTGAATTATAATAAATATATTCTTATTTGTATATTTTCCGTACATAGTACAATCTTATTTTAAAATACTTCTGTCTTTTCTTCAGATAATTTTATATGATTTTTATAAATGTTAATATAGATAAAATATTATTAAACTTTTTACTCACATGAAGTTATTTAAATAGAAAATAAAAAACTGATCAAATAATATGAAAACCTTAAAACAATAATTAATTGAAAATGAAATAAAAAATTTTATATGGTAAATAACGTAAAATGATATATGTGAATAGAGTATTTTTTTTATACATAAAGGGGTAGATGTGAATAAATGAATAGACTACATGTTGAACCAAGTTGTTGATTTAATTAAAATTGAATTTCGTTTTCTTTAATAAAGTCTTGAACACGAATTTGGTGAACCAAAAAATATAGTTATAAAGACATTTTTACTGAGGGTAACCACTAACCAGCAAAGTTGTCCTGATATAATCTAATACAAAAATAATGACCAATTGTATCATCAAAATGTGGTCAAGTTTTGATAATGACCAATTGTATCTAATATTTTTAAACCTGTGAAATTAAAGCGAAATCAGAAAGTCAGATAAGGAATTAAAAATTTATTTTAATCGATTTAAATTAATTTAAATGATTCAATTTATGAACATTTTGAATACCTTTTTTAAAAAGAATTTTAAGTCAAATAAAATTAATGATAATTCACTTTATTATAAAAGTTAATTTTTTTACCAGGTGTTTTTAAAAGTAAAAATAATGATAACTCGAAGCTAATTTTACAGTGACTAGGGCCTTTCTTTCTAATATTATTATGGTTGAGATTGTTATTTATTTGAGCTCAGTTAAGTTTCTCATCTTTCAACAAAAATGTATTGTGTGGGAATCAAACTCTGATCTTCTTTCACAAACTCAGCATATAGTCATATACTATCACTGAATTTCAAAAAGATAGATTATAAGATGTATGATTTAAGTATTTAACCAATAGGATTGATCTCATCTCATGGATATTTTTTGTAACTTCTGTACGTATATCATTCTCAGTTCGAGCACTAAGAAAACAAAATTCATTATATAAAGAAAATTGTAACCAATACAATCAACTTTCTTATAGTATTGTTCATATATATTTTTTGATAAAAGAATAAGAAAAATAAAACAATTTTTTTGTATGAATTAATTTGTAGATTTTTTTCATATTAACTTATTAAAAAATAATTTTAAATATACTTACTTTATTATGTCGTCTCGTATTAATACTTATAAAAAAATATATATTAAAATAAGTCATAAAAAACAAATCATTGATATATTAAACTTAATCCCTTTAAATAAGTTGGATAGTCTTGTAGAGAAAATATATAGTTAAAAGAAAAAATCTCATTAAAAATAATAAATCAAATATTCATCAACAAAATTAATATATATTATATCAATAATATGATTATTAAATATTATTGTATCAATAAAATCTAATATTGTTGAGAGATAATTATATTCTTTAAAGATATTAACATGTGTCTAATTCTTTAGTGGTTCATTATAGAAAAATGAACTTTATTTAAAGGGACAAAATTTACTTGAGTCATTTTTACATCTCAAACACAACTAGCATGGACTATAGATTATGGTATATCCTTATGTAATAAAAAAAGATGCAAACAGTGTGTTGTTAAGTTTGACAGTAGCAGAGTTGGCAAACGCATGTGTTTCCAGTGCCGTATGGTGGTGGAAATGGAAACCCTTTGACAGTTGGTGAATCTTGAATTATTTGTTGAAAGCAACTGAAAAGGTTTTAGAGTAAGACATGGTTGGCCAAGTAGCAGCAATCCAATTCCTTGATGCAAACACTTCATATACTCTGTTACCAACTCCACGACCAACACCACGTGACCCTTGTTCATATGCAAGTACATCGCATACACTCTCTTCTGTCCCACTATTAATGTATCTCTACATTATCATAAACCAAATACATTAATGTCATACTAATAACCATAATAATAGTCACAAAACACAATAAATTCTCTTTGTCATATTGATCAAGTTCTTCAACTAAATTACGGCAAATGTATAGATTCTTTTTCATAACATTAAATAACCTTCATTAACAATATGTTATGCAATTTAGAAGAAAAAAAATCGTCTTCATTTTGTTTGAGAACTTTAATTTTATCATAATATAATTAGTTGATCTAGTTTTATAATTCTATTATAAAACTATAGTCGAATTAGAATTTGATAAGTATATTGTATTATTCTCTTATATATTGAGTATATTTATCAACTGATAACTGATATTAATTCTATAAAAGACTTATCTATATCTCATAATTTTTTATAGCTCGACTATCTCTTTTATATGAAGGATGATCGAGTATTTAAATAACCAATAATAGAATCTCATGATTTTGAGAATGAGAAAGA